CCATACTCCCAGATCACTGTGCAGAGAGCGAGTAAAGATGAATTGAATTCACCCTGAGGTAAAGGCTTATCCTAATTTCTAAGAGCAGTGGAAGGTAGTACCAGCAAACACTCACTGCCTTGAAGACATAGCCCTCGAAATGCAGTTAGAACCAGCTTCTTTCTGGATTTGTGCCTACGCTGCTCATTAGGTGAACAGCTGAAGCCACTGTGCTGACTGACATCTTGATCCAGTCCTTGTAGCTCAGCTTGCAGCTGCGGCTTGATCCACTGTGATGCAATGTGGTCATGCTCAGGGGAAGCCACTGGGTGGCACAGTCAGCCAAAGAGGAGCCGGGCGTGCCAGTGCCAGTACTCCTCTGAACCTCCTCCAATGGGTGCAGGTGCCCCTCCACGTGCCCTGGCAATTGAGGGTTTCAGCTGAGCCGCCCTTTCGCGCAGGGGCTCCACATACACTGTCCTGCCCCCTGCAAGCACTCATGATATACTGCAGGCATAATTGGATGAAGGAGAGGCCCCGGCTGGAAGCACCAATGTTCATTCTCGTGTATGCCAAGGCTTAACTGATTATGTCATTGTAATTATCAATACCATCCATGCCTTGCTTTTTTCCTGCAAGGAACCCGGTGCAGCTTGCATAATCCTGCTCCTCTCCATTTTATCCTCACAACACCCCTGGGAGGTAGGTTCAACCGAGGGTCAATGACTGACCCAAAGTCACCCAGTGAGCTTCATCACTGAGCAGGGACCCAGGCCTAGATTTTGGTGTCCCCGCACAGCACACTGCACTGGCTCAGAGGCATGCTGGCACCCAGCATCTCCAAGAGCAACAGATGTGTGGTCCAGCACAGGGCAGGGGGAGTGAAAAGAATGTTTGAAAAGGCATTCCAGCACTGGAATTGGACTGCATCGGAACAGACTGCCCCTGGAGAAACAGGTGAAGTGGGAAACAACTGCTTGCAAATCAGCATGAGACAGATTTGCCCTAACCAAGTTCCAGGTGATTTCCACTACGGCGCTTTTATCTACACAACACATGTCCCAAAAGCCTCCTGCAGAGTGCCAGAAGGCATGATCAAGCCACCTCTGGATCTTCAACTACAATTTCTCTGTAGACCACCAGAGAAATTCATCCCTTAGCTACGTTGGCATTAAGCTCTTTCTTACCAGCAAGGCCGGGAGGTCTCAAGCTGGGAGCTGCTGATGCAAGCAGAGAGAGTGGGCACCTTCTTCTTGGTGCCACCATGAGACATGATAGAGGAGGGAGATTTTGCTTTTGTTCTGCTTCACTGCAGCAGCAGCACTCAGAGACGTTGGGGCCACCTAACAGATGCAGTTCTGAAGTGGCCAGGGACAAATGGGGTCCACCTGGGACTTGGTTGTGCAGCTGGAGCACTTCCTCATCCAGTACAAACCAGTGCTTCTTCCACTTCCCCTCCCCATTCTTGCTGCCTCCCATGCAAAGGCCACAGAGGGATCCATTACTTCTATGGGCAGAGGGATCCACTCATGGAAGGTGTGGGGGGATCAGCGGGGGCAAATTCTCCACTGGACCCGATTCAGCAGCGTCCCCTCGCCCTGAGTATATCATTTACAGGGGACTGCTACGGGGAGGGGGGGGCAGAGCAGCCCACTTCCGCCAGCCCAGCTGCACTTGCTAAAGCTGGGTCCAAGCCTGAGGACATCTTAATGATCAGGGAACCCCCTGAGTGCACCCAGCACTCCAACACCCAACTTCTGTCTTTTTAACAGAAGCAGATGACGCCAAGTCCGACAGATGGCAATGAATATATTGTATTGAGACTCAACTCAGGCTTGCTTGATTTGAGATGTATCTATCACAGCCATATATCTGTAGAAATTCAGTTAGAAATCAGTGGTGTATAAGGTCAGGCAAATGGACAATATTACATTAATTTGTGTTTTACTGTCCTGTAGGTGGTGCTAGAAAGCAGACCAAGCAAGATACTAAAGTGCCTGCCCTGACTGAATGAAAAACTAAATGACAAATGATTAGTAAGCATCAGATGATGTATAAAAATATTCAAAAGAATATTTTAAAACTTCTTTTTGTACTCATATAGGCTTATTTTTAAGAAATGCCTTTTAAAAACTGATCAACTTTTATAAAGCGAAGTAGGCTGCAATTAGGGTGCTTTAAATGGAACATAATGGGGGAAGGGTCATTTCTAAGAAAACGTTACCATTTCTGCAGCACTTGCTCAACAATCATAATTTTCATTAAAAGAGGAAGCATGAGGTTAACTCACCAAAAGGAAAACTGTAGAACCACAATGTAGGAGATGGTCCAAGCAGATTATTTCTATCAGTGGGTCTTTCCTTAGCCTTGAAAACTAAATTCCTAAGACAGCTTTTGATTAATATATTCAGTAGCAAGTACCATGAATGTAACTCTTTCAGCCAGCAAGGAAGGAGGTCTCCAGAAGATTGCACATCTTTCCTCTTGGCTGGACATGTTACTTACAAGAGGATTCTTGGAAATTTAAGGGACTGCAGTGCCTGGCGGTGCCTGGCATTTTATTCATTTGAGATGGATCACGGAGCTGGACACCAAATTCTCAGCTGTAATCCTTGGAACTGCAATCATCTCAGGAGGTGACCTTGGCCTGTAGAAGCTGCCTGGGCCTCTGATACTCAGCTACCTCACTGGGGTATTGTGAGGATAAGGGGATTCTGATGTGATGAAGAACAGGGCCATATAAGTAAAAAGACACACAGGAATGCCGTGTGGGACCAGAATGCGGGAGCCAACCTTTACTGCTTCCAGCTTTAGGACTGAGGAGATCAATGTGAATTTTGCCAAATTTGTACTTGAAATATTAGGAAAGTTAATTTTTCTTCTCATGCACCTAGTTTTGTTGGAGACTGACAACTTATTTATATATTTAAGCCTGACTGCTTTCATGCAAGGACTGAGTGATTTTTAGCCCCTGTGTGATAGAACTGGGATAATCTTTGGACAGTGCTTGGTGGTGAAGGGTATGAGCTACGATGGCAAGTCCCTGGTCCTTTAGGCAAGCCACTTGGCCTCAACACCACACCTTCACCTACTTTACAGGGTTGTTGTGAGGATTCTTGAGAAAATGTATATGAAGCGTTTTGAGCACTTGAAATACTAGATGCGTGATAGGTCTTACTAGAGCATAATATAACGTGTGTGTTCCGTCATCGGAGGAGCTTTTGCACAGATGTCCTATTCAGGTTAAACAGGAACATTTCATGTATGTGCGTATGCAAAGCAGGATTTCCCTGGTGCCCCTAGACTGGCTCTCATGAGTCAGAAAAGTGCTGCCAGGTCTAAAGAAGAGAGTCATGAAGGGCTGCTGTGATGGCTGAAATTATAGCATTTCATTTTTCAGAGGATAAATATACCATATTTAGCATATTTATGTAAAGATAAATTAGCCAGAGCCACTAGATTTGAAAATTCTATTTTCTCCTAATGAATTGGATACATGCAGCTATCAGACTAACATAAATTACTTTAGTGGAAAATCCAGCCCAGATTCTTCTTCATAACTGAGTGTTCATGAAGTGCACAATCTAACATAATTGTAAAAAAGAAAAGAAAAATTGCCACACACACGACTCAGGTTTGTTTCTCTTATTTAAAATTCACACTATTTTTATCTATCTTTGCCAATGCTGCTGTTGTTTTGACAATTCAAATCTGATGTTCTGTTCAGTTTTTCTCTTGACTCGCACTTTGAGAATCAAATCCCCCAGCTGCCTGGCTGAAATCAGTGTGCAAATGGAGTGTCGGAGCTGCACTCGCAAACGCCTTCCTCCTTCACACTGAGCAGAGTGACACTTCCAAGTAAGCTTGCAGAGGGCTGCAAATACAAGCCATGCTCGTCCAGTCAGGCTTGCTGGAATTCATCAGGGGGTTCTTGCAGTTCCAATGAGGAGTTGTGAAAATTCTTGCTAGCCTTTCAACATTTCCCACCCTTTGGCTCTCCATATTAGGTTGGATATCTAGGTGGAGTTTCCTAAATAGGTACGCTGATCAATCAAAGTGCCAGGTAGGGAGGTAATGACGCTCTCCTGAGAGTCACCCAGGGAGTCTGTCTGGCTGGATTTTTCCTCTGCCCTTGTTCCACAAGCAGATTGCTTCCTCTGAGTTTGCACTGAGTACAAAATGCTAGTCAAGACAGCGATTGCACTGCAGAACATTTTCAATCAGCATGCAACAACTTGAAGATGGCAGATGTTAACTTCAAATAGGCGAAACAGAATGATTCACAAGGAGTTTTGTATTATTTAGCTAGCATCACTTCATAGCAACTTGCAAATTGTGAACAGCTAAGATGAAATGTGCAGTCACTGAAATGCTCCACTCTGTCTACAGTGATTGATCTCTTCTGATCTAGCATCCAAGTCTGTGTTAACTTTACAGCTAAATGGAAAGAAACTGGGTTGCTAGTTGTCTTTCAAATAAATAATAAACATTTCCAAAAAGAATGGATCATGAACTTAATAAGTGTGCATGCGTGTGCGCACACACATGAGATGTTCAGAATGAAGCTTACAAAATAATCAATCCTTTTAAAAAAGTGAAAGAATTGGAATTAATTTCATGATTTAATTGGTTTCACATTTTTAGTGAACTTCCTTTTTAAGTCTTTTCATTTATTCCACAATGTAGGCATGTATATACTGAACTGAAAAAGCAGTAATTCAGGCCAAATTGCAATAGATTAGATACCATATTTGAAAAGCAAATTTCTAACATGCCATGATCAGCTATTAAAGCAAAGTATCTGCTGTGACTTAAAAAGCAGAACAAACTCTTAAGCTTTAGATATTTGGGTAGGTAGGGGGAATTAAACCCAGTTTCTTTTCTAACTCAGCTTTACTACAGTCCTCATGCCAAAAATATGCCCATCCAAATGATTCTTTCAGATCTGAATAAGGGAACAACGTTGTGTTTTCTAGCTGGAAAGAGGGCTTTGCAGTGACTGCACAAAGTCATCTGTTTACCTTGATGGTGGAGAGATCAATTGCTGGTTCTTTGGGCTTTGGTGGTTCTGGGGCTGGCGCTGGCGCTGGTGCTGGGGCGGGGGCTGCAGCAGGTGCAGCTTTCTTGACATCTTTCTTTGGTGCCATTTTCTTCCCTTTGTTTAAAAAAGTAAAAAGGTACCCCAAGAAGCCCTTTGAGAAGATTCCTGGATGAGGAGCAGTGAGTGGTCAGGATGATCTACAGCCCAGTGCCTTGGAGGGAGTCCCAGTGTGTTCCTCACCATCAGGGCATATATATATTTCACTTAGTGCCTAATACAATCTTGACACTTGCAGCTGGATTGGACAGTTTGCGAGTCAAGGGGGGTGTCATTCCAAGTCAGGCTATAAATGGCATCTAAGGGGTCAGAGTGTCGTCAGATTCAAGGGGATTTCAGGGCCCCTGTTCCTCCCTAAAGGCTTCCATGCATTTTTGTAATGGATGAAAGGGAAGGAGGAGTATGAGAAAGCCAGCAGGTCCCTCACTGGCATTCAGAGGCAAGATTGATCGGTACCTTTTTCTTGGTAAAATTACGGTTCTGCTCTAGTTGTAAATCTTCTTTGCCGGTGCTCTGTGTCATTATTCAGGGGGATTGAATTTCCAGATGGCATGTGGACCTTCGGGGTTGGGAAACGATCACCAGAGTTTCCATCCACCCTCCCTTTCTCAGCCCTTTCCTCCTCACAATGTCCCCGCCCCTTCTTTACTCCTCCTCCTCCTCCATTTCCTGCCTTTGCAAGAAGAAAGTGTTGATCCAGCAAGAAATGAGGGGAGTGTTTAAAAATAAAAGCAAGCGTATATGGAAAGCCCAGCCTGCCTTAACCACTATGTCTTTCTCTAGTGGCGAATATGTCCATCTGTTCTTATTCTTCCCTTAATAAGCATAGCATCTACAGTAAAGCCAACAGCTTTCCCCTTAATCCAATGTCCTGCACTGTTGGCTGGCATAGCAAGCCCAATTTCTAAAGGAGACAGACTGGTCACAGCTTAGATTTTGTGAGGGAAGACTAGAGCCTTTCCCCCACTCTAGAAAGCAAACTAGTCATCTGTCAAGGTTGGTATTTATGTTTATTGTCTCCAAGTCAATTGCCAATCTTCATGTGCATACTATTTATCTTTTCTCACTTCCAGACACGCGGAGACCTCTCCCTTTCTCGTGCCTTTCTGTTCTGCTCTGAGCAGAGAAGTCTTTAAGCTTTGATTAATCACTTAACTTTAATTCAGAGTGGGGAACGGTCCTCACTGCCACTAATGTATAGTCAATGACTCTGCTGCTAGATCCAGAACATTTCTCAGCTCTGGAATCTCTGGGTTGTTGCTTCTATTCAGCTCCTTGCACTGAAAAATTATTTAAGATTCATGACAAAGCTATCAGTGAAGTCATTATTTACAGCTGTGCAGATGACAAGTTACAGTAGGTTAAATATGAAAGCCATGCAAGAGTCAAATTAAAAACTTGTCCATACAGATGGCTGAGAATAGCATGGTCATCCCTCACCCCAGCATATCTGGATTGTCTATATTACCTTCCCAAGGGGGACTTGCCACAAATCTGGGGCAGGAGTGCAGCAAAACAATCCATTATACAGAGCCAAGATAGTCTGAACACATTCCCAAACACCTACCTGAAGAACAGTATTTATTTTGAGGAAGGTGACATGAGATTAGAAAAGCAGTAGCATGCGTGTGTAGTTGTTGGTCAAATCACAGATTGCCAGTGAAATCCTAGACAGTCAGAAGTAAGCCCCACGAAGGAGGATAGGATTGCAACCAAACTCAGGTCTTGCCCCGGAACTTCTCACCACTCAAGGAAGCAGAGCGAGCAAGTGGCAGCAGAAACTGGATTGTGACAGATGCAACTGGCATCCTTTCCTGGGAGCGCAGCAGGGAGAAGAACGGCTGCTATGATTTCCAGCCATATTTTTGAGTACCCGCTTAACATGTTTGTGGGTGGTTGGCACCTCTTTATATATTTCAAAATACCTGCCTGTAGTTTCATCACCCCTAGTGTCCCCCTGCCTCACAGCTGGCACATATAATGTAGCCAGACCTCTTGACTGGCTGTCCTCCAGATGTTTTGAACTATAGCTCCCAGCATTTCTGACAGTGGATCGTGATGGCTGGGAATGGTGGTACCTGAAATCCAGCACATTTGGTGGGCACTGGTCTGGGAAGGCTGATGTAGCCTCCCCACCCCCCCACCCCAAAAAAACCCCTATTCCTGATTGAGCCAAACATAAGTGTGTTCATAGACTATTAAGTCATAGACATGATATCCATTAGAAGAAAGAACAAAATTTGGCAACTTACTGAATTTGCCTGATGCATTTGCCCAATGTATTTTGATTTATATATGTTACAGGATGGTGGGGGGATGCGTGGCTCAACAGTTCTACAGGCAAGAAGGATCTTGGAATTGTTGTAGATCACAGGCTAAATATGAGTCAACAATGTGGTGTGGCTGCAAAATGGCAAATGCTCTTTTGGGCTGCATTAATAGAAGGATCACTTCCAAATCACATGGAGTGCTAGTTCCTCTCTGTTCAGCCCTTGTTAGGCACCATCTTGAGTATTGCCTCCAGTTCTGGGCACCACAGTTTAAGAAAGATTCAGACACACTGGAAATGGCTCCGAGGAGGGCAGCAAAGAGGATCAGGGAACTGGCAACAGAGCCTTAAGAGGAGAGACTGAAAGAATTGGCCATGTTTAGCTTTGACTGAGGGGAGATAGGATAGTGCTGTCTGAGTACTTGAAAGGTACTTTCAAGAGGAGGGGAGCCAGGATCACTTCTTTATCATCCCAGAGAGCTGGACACAAAATAATGGGCCCCAGGCATGGGAAACTGCATTCCCAATGAACATTAGGAAAGCCTTCCTGACTGTAAGAGCAATATGACAATGGAAGCAATTACCTAGGGAAGTTGTGGGCTCTTCCAGGTGAGGCATCCAAGATGCAACTGGGCAGCCTTCTGTCAGGGATACCTTAACTTGTGATCGTTCACTGAGCAGGCAGCTGGACCCAGTGGCTTTCCTGTTGCTGTTCCATGCTGTCAACTCGTCTGTGACTTACACTGATGCTCTTAGCAGCTACAGGCACCACACTGGAGTCCCATAGCATTAGCCCCCCTTTGCCACACAGAGGCCAGGTTTGTGTTATTACCCCCAATGCAGGTGCTTGCTTGCATGTGCTTTGGGCAAAAATGGGGAAGACTTGTGTGGGTGAAGGCAAGCCCTTCCATCAACAGCCCACATCCCCAGCTCCCAGTTTGACTTGTGTGCCAAATTCTGTTATGAATTCCAGAAGCACATTCAGGGCTCTCATGATTGTGCACTTGCCTTCTCAGGGCTCCAGTCATGGGAACTCTTCAAGCACGTTCATCTGTACTGGCTTACAGGGTCCTTTCTGATGTTCATGCTTGAAGCCCTCCAGCTGGGTTCCAGCTGCAGCAGGCTGCACTCTTGGGTCACGTGTGCAAGTGGAAGGTACAATGAAGAACCAAACATGGCCTTCATGACTTTCTTTGGCATGTATCTCTGTGTGATGTGAGGTCTTCCTGTTTTGTTTTGTTTTTTCTTGGCACTTTTCCCAAGTAAACTTCTCTCCCTACTGACATCTGGCTTTAAAGAGTATTCTTCTGGAATATCTCAAAAATCTTCCCAGGTACTAGACTATACCAGGATTCTGTGAAATGGTGCTATTGCAAAGTATACTTTAGGCATGTTTTTCCCCCCAGAGTTTGGCTGTAGGAAGAGGTATTTATCAGCAGGACTTGGAACACCCCGTCTCCGCCAGCTGGACAACCTAAGGTTTCCATTTATTTATTTATTTATTTATTTGTTATATTTCCGTTCTGCAGGGACCCCAAGACAGCTTACATAATCCTCCTCCTCTCCATTTTATCCTCATAACATGCCTGTGAAGAAGGTTACCAGTCTAGTTTCAAACTATCATAATTCTTCTTTCAGAGAACATTAAAACTGAAACACTCAGACTTGTCCTGTTATCTGCTGCAGTTTGCCAGCTTTCTAAGGATTACAAGCAAGTGTGATTAATAACCCTAAGTATTTAGGGTGGAAGGGACAAGGGGCACTATTGAACATAAACAGATGCTATTTATTTATTTATTTATTTATTTATTTAAAGTATTTATATGCTGTCGCGAAAGCCTCAGGATGGCTCACATAGATAAAATACAATGAAATATAACATAGATAAAATTATCGACCCACACTGGCTGAAATAAAAACATATAAGTCATGATATTAAAACTTATTAAAATGTTGCTGAAAAAAACGGTCTTAACCTGGCGCCGAAAAACATATAACAATGGCACCAGGCGGACCTCTCTGGGGAGCGCATTCCGTAGGTGGGGCGCCACCGCAGAGAAGGCCCTCCTCCGGGTACTTTGCTTCCTAATATCTTTCACGGAGGGTTCCCGGAGGAAGGCCTCTGGTGCCGATCTCAGGGGGTGGGAAGGCAAATATGGAAGAAGGCGTTCCTTTAGGTATCCTGGTCCCAAGCCGTTAAGGGCTTTATAGGAAATGGCCAGCACCTTGAATTGAGCCCGGACTTCAATGGGAAGCCAGTGAAGCTGATAGACGACTGGCATTATATGAGAATAACGCCCAGTCCCCATCAGCAACCTGGCCACTCTGTTTTGCACCATCTGAAGTATCCGGACTGTCTTCAAGGGCAGCCCCATGTAGAGCGCGTTGCAGATATCCAACTGGGAAGTAACCAAAGCATGTGTCACTGTTGCTAGGCAATCTTTCTTGAGGTAGGGATGCAGCTGATGGATTAGCCAAAGCTGAACGAAAGCGCTCCTCACCACCACAGTCACTTGAGCTTCCAAGGACAGCTCCGGGTCAAGGAGCAATCCCAAGCTGCGAACCCTGTCCTTTAGAGGGAGTGCAACCCCGTCCAGGGCAAGGCCCAAGTCACCTACCCAGGAGCTCGATCCATCCACCAACAGGACCTCCGTCTTGTCTGGATTGAGCTTCAGTTTATTGGCCCTCATCCAGCCCATTACCTCGGCCAGGCACCGGTTCAGTACAGCCACAGCCTCACCTGGATTGGTAGAGAATGAGAGGTAGAGCTGGGTATCATCAGCGTACTGATGATTCCGCAGCCCAAACCTCCTGATGACCTCTCCCAGCAGTTTCATGTAGATATTAAATACAAGCAGTGCCCCCTACTCCCTACC